ATATATATATATATATATATATATATATATATATATATATATATATATATGTGAAAAGTGTATATAAATATAAACAAATATACATATGTATAACTATTTATATATTATATGCGCGGTACTTATTAGAAAGCGCTCAATATCAGAGATCGGGCTAACATATTTGGTTGGATAGATGTGAGTTTGTGACCCTGGGTTTCACGCTTTAGCGATCGTCAGACAAACTGATTTTGTTTCTTTGCCCATGGTTCATTGTTGTGGAACAGAAGGGATTTGCGGCAATGCTGTTCCACAACAATGAACCATGGGCAAAGAAACAAAACCACAACCTGTTTGGCGTAACAATGGGCAGCTACGATGGAGCAGAAATATGCGAATTAGTAGGCATACTCATCCTATCATACCTGGCCAGAATGCTGGAGAGAAATGACACAGGATTATACAGAGATGACGGTCTTATCTTAATAAAAGGAATCCAATGGCCCCAAAGTAGACAAATTCAGGAAGAAAATAGTGAACGCCCTAAAAAACATTGATTCAAAATAGAGATAAATACAGGCACAACAATAGTAAACTTCCTTGACGTCACTCTTAACCTGATCAACAACACGTATGAACCATACAAAAAAAGAAAACGACACCCCAACTTACGTACACACATCTTCCAACCATCCACCTTTCTATCATCAAACAAATACCAAAATCAATCAGCCGCAGACTATCTGAGAACTCATCTAACATACACATTTTCAATAGTAAAAAAAGCACCATACAACGAAGCACTAAAAGCAAGTGGTTACACACAACAACTACAATATATACCTCCACAGCCAAAACGCAGAAACAGAAAGAGAAGCATTATCTGGTTTAATCCACCATATAACAAAACTGTTAAAACGAACATAGGCAAAATATTCCTAAACTTAATAGAAAAACACTTCACTGAAGAAAACAAATTATCAAAAATATTCAACAAAAATAACGTAAAGATCAGCTACAGCTGTACAAAAAAACATAACAGAAATAATTAAAAGCCACAACAAAAAATGACAACCTACAAAATGTAACCAAGGATCCAATATGCAACTGCAGAAACAGAACAACATGTCCACTCCAAGGAAATTGCCAACTTACGAACACTATATACATGGCCAAGATAAGTACAAACAACAACACTATGCACTACATCGGTGCCACCGAAGGCCCATTCAAAATGAGGAATAACAATCACAACCTTTCATTCAACAACAGGAAATATTCGAACAGCACAACACTTTCTACATACATATGGCAGCAAAAAGACAAAAAACATCACACCAACAATAAGTTGGGAAATATTGAAAAAAGCCCTGCCTACAACAACATTACGAAAAAATGCCTACTTTGCCTACACGAAAAAGTAGCAATAATATCACACAAACCGCAAAAGAACTTACTAAACAAAAAATCAGAGATAATCTCCAAATGTAGGCATGAGAACAAGTACCTATTATCCGAATTCATACCAAACGGATAAAACAAACAAACCACCAACAATCACAGTTTAATTTCTGTCTCCAATCCCTTGAAACATTACTATCGCATCATACCATATAAACCCGTTATTAAATTGAACTACCCTCTCACCCAGCACATTGAATATTAAACTAAACATCACCATATAAATTAACCAATAAGGATTACAAATTTCTACCTGTTACATATACACAGTCACCAAAAAAACAAACAAATAACCAGCTTTAAATATAACAAATAAAGCCCTATTTTTTTTTTGAGAAAAAATTTAAAATAAATATAAATAATAATAATCTTTACCTATCATAATTTTACACAAACCCCACCACACGCATATACATACATGTTGAGGAAATATTTTCCAGCTGGAAAATACATATGACATGTACACATCAACGAGACATTTCCGTCACACTTCCAATGTTTAGATTTCAACATTTCAACATACAAATGCGTATGTATAGATATAACACCACCCGTATACATACATGTGTCATAGCCGAAACTGCCCACATATGTTTATATATGTATGAGTCCCGACGGACGACCAAGTGTGTATATGTGTCTGCATACATCGATGTTTACGTTAGTACGATGAATGACAAAACGACGAAATTTCCCCCACCACTTCCACAATAACACCAATACACGCAATCTACATAAACCCAAATTTTTTAAAACATTAATCAGTTTGTCTGACGATCGCTAAAGCGTGAAACCCAGGGTCACAAACTCACATCTATCCAACCAAATATATATATATATATATATATATATATATATATATATATATATATATATTCTTTTATGTATATATGGTAAAGATAATTTTCGTATTTATAATGGATATCAATAGAAGTGTACTATGATATATATTCAGTGCTGTTCGATAAAAGTGACTCACCTGATTATTTTACTAAATGTTCTCTTCTCCGATGAAACGAAAGTTGAGCTAAATTCAAAGGATAAGCGATCTAAAATCCGAAGAAGAAGCTTTGAAAGCTCTTTGAATTTAGCAGTAAGTACTCTCCTGACCTCACCCCCATAGAAAACCTATGGAGCATGTTGCTCAACTGCTTTCTCGAGAGCCTGTACATATAATGCTCCATAAGGTTTCTATGGGGTTGAGGTCAGGAGATTGAGGCGGCCATGTCATAACACTCACCTGCTTCTCATAAAAGTATTCCTTCATCAATTTTGATTTGTGAGGGAGCATTATCCTGCATAAAAATGAGCTTGGTGGGAGCGATCTTCACCGTTTCAGCAGAAGGGAGCAGTCAAGACTCTAAAATTCTCTTGTACTGTTCACTCCTGAGGGTCTTTTCAATAGGTTTTAGGAAACCAGTTCCATGAAAAGAAAAGCATCCCCAGAATATTATACTGAACGGATGCTTGACAGTACTTACTGCTAAATTCAAAGAGCTTTCAAAGCTTCTTCTTCGGATTTTAGATCGCTTATCCTTTGAATTTAGTTCAACTTTAGTTTCATTGGAGAAGATAACATTTTAAAAAAAAATCAGGTGAGTCACTTTATATATATATATATATATATATATATATATTGCACGTCTGTGTAAATCTTGGAATGTTCTGTGCATCAATTTTGAAAATTAGTCCCATTATGCTGATTTAAATTAAACTATAAAACGTATAGTATGAAATATATATATATATATATATATATATATATATATATATATGGATTATTAGTATGCACATATATATTCCATTATATGTATGTATATCTTTTTTTATATATAGAGTAAAGTTGTTCTTAGTATTTATAATCTATCTATTTATAATATAAATGTAGTATGATATATATATATATATATATATATATATATATATATATATATATATATATATATATATATATATGCCATCTTCAGGTTATTTTATATTTAGATACACTCTGTCTGATGTTGAGCTAAAGTGCTCATAAATATAGCGCCCCTTAAAATTATATTCTATTATTTTTTACTTTTATATATATATATATATATATATATATATATATATATATATATATATATATATGTGTGTGTGTGTGTGTGTGTTTTGTGTGTGTTTGTGTGTAGTTTTAGAAGTATGCAGAAACAAACACCTGTATATTTTGAATTTGCTTCAAATCAAATCCTTGAATTTGCTTCAAATCAAATCCTTGAATTTTGCAATTAAATATCAATTTCTTAAAGTGAAATAACGTATCACAGATATTGTTAGATTTGATCCCATTTAATTAATTGAATTTTACTCAAACTATTATTCGGCATTTATGAAGTATACAAAAATCATATCTTCGCCTGAAACAGTTTTTTTCCGACCAACGAACTGTCCATAATATGTAAAATCATTATTCCAAATATCTGAGTGTCCTGGGTAAGACGATAAACTACATCCAACAGCAAGGCTTCTGATCAGATTTTGAGGAGTGTGGAACCACCTCTTTATTGCTGGCTTTCCCAGGTTCACCCTGGTCAGGGGTGGTTGCACCTGTTAGGTTCCCAAATATGAGGAAATAGTTAATCCCCTAACTGGGGTCAAAACACTATGAAAGTGTAAGAATAGGCTTTAATACCAGCAATAAATTTTTGGTGTAAATTATTACCAGCAATACATTATTGAAGAAAAAAAATATTACCAGCAATACATTTTTGTAGAAAAAAAATTACCTGCAATGCATTCTTGCGAAAAATATTACCAGCAATAAAAATCTTATCGACATTAAATAACCCATTGAGGTTGATATGCTGTAAAACAACACAAACCAAACCAAATATCTGAGTGTTGTGTCTGTGTGTTTATGTGTTTCTGTAAATCTGTTCTGGTAGTTAAACTATATTTACTCATCGGATGTTTAAAGGAATCTCTCCATTGGAGCAACTGATATAAGCGGACATTAAAACCTATACCCAAAGCAAAGAAATAGGCAAAAAGAATCCTTCCTTACAATAAATCTTATAGTAGTAGTTAAGTGTTGGAAATGTGTTAACGACTTGTGTGAAACTACTTGTCTGGAGAGCGAACTAGCAACATCTAGCGTCATCGAAGAAACGTTATTCATTTTGACAACTGTCAGTTGTTCGTTCTGTTATTTCTTTCTTTTCTCTACTCACCAGTCGCGGCAGATAGCATTTCGTCAGGATTAATTTCGAAAAGAAGGTTTTAAAATGAAATGAAGAAAAAGCAAATAATAGGAACTGTAAAAAAACAAAAAAATCGCATTTCCATAAGAAAGTCGGAATCTCTGAATATATATTTTTTTTACTTTCTAGGAAAAGATGTTTTCCTTTTAAGTCTTTTAGAATCAAAGTAACGTCGATATTAATTCTTCTATATCAGAATCGGGTGGCCTTAAAAATTAGTTGAAAGAAAAGCTCTCTTTCTATTCGTATGCTCTTTAACATTAAAGAAAATTAAACAAATAATACGTTTTTGAAGGTTTCATTGTTTTCAAAAAATATCTACAAATTATATATTTACAGGTATAAATTAATACGTATCTTCATTTATCTTTCTTTCTTTCTTTTTCTTTCTTTCTTTTTTCTTTCTTTCTTTCTTTCTTTCTTTCTTTCTTTCTTTCTTCTCTCTTTGTCTATCTTACTTTCTATTTTTCTCTTTTTATTTGCAACAGTTTTTCTTCTTTTTTCTTTTGCTTCCCTATTTCTCTTTCTTTTGTTTGTACGTTTCCTTTTTTTTCTCTATTTTCTTTTCTTTCTTCCTTCCTTGATTTTTCTTTTTTCGCATTTCTTTCTTTATTTTCTTTCTTTCTTTCTTTCTTTCTTTCTTTCTTTCTTTCTTTCTTTCTTTCTTTCTTTCAAGCGTTTTTATGCTTCCTCCTGTTCATTAAATTCGTTTCTTTCTTTCTTTCTTTCTTTCTTTCTTTCTTTCTTTCTTTCAAGCATTTTTATGCTCCCTCCTGTTCATTAAATTCGTTTCTTTCTTTCTTTCTTTCTTTCTTTTCTTTTCTTTCTTTCTTTCTTTCTTTCTTTCTTTCTTTCAAGCGTATTTATGCTCCTCCTGTTCATTAAATTCGTTTCTTTTTTTCTTTCTTTCTTTCTTTCTTTCTTTCTTTCTTTCTTTCTTTCTTTCTTTCTTTCAAGCGTTTTTATGCTTCCTCCTGTTCATTAAATTCGTTTCTTTCTTTCTTTCTTTCTTTCTTTCTTTCTTTCTTTCTTTCTTTCTTTCTTTCTTTCTTTCAAGCGTTTTTATGCTCTCTCCTGTTCATTAAATTCGTTTCTTTCTTTCTTTCTTTCTTTTTCTTTCTTTCTTTCTTTCTTTCTTTTCCTATTTTTTCTATTTTCTTTGTTTTATTTTTTCTTTCAATTTTTCTCCTGCTTTGTGTATGTAATCAGACTGGATCCAGTTACCTTTCTTTTTCAATTTTTTCTTTTTATCACGTTCATTTTCTTTCTTTCTTTTATTCATTCTTTCTTGTTTTTTTTTTCTCGTTTTCGTCTTTCTTTCTTTCTTTCTTTCTTTCTTTCTTTCTTTCTTTCTTTCTTTCTTTTCCTCTCTTTCTATTTTTTCCATTTTCTGTCTTTCATTTTTTCTTTCCATTTTCTTTCTCTCTTTCTTGTTTTGTGTATGTAATAAGACTTCGTCCAGTTATCTTTCTTTTCAATCTTTTCTTTTTATTCTCGTTCATTTTCTTTCTTTCGTTTATTCTTTCTTTCTTTCTTTTGGTCGCTTTCAATTTGATCTATTTTCTGTTTGTTTTTCTTTTTAATTTTGCTTTGTGTATGTAATAAAGCTCAGTTCATGCGCAGCGTCACCCTCAAAAATCTTTCGAAAAAAGTAAATACGAAGAATAAAAGTCCAAGCGCAGATACGTTTCAATCGATCTATCGTTCAATGCATAATCAAATTTATTTATAGTCTGTAACACATTTACATAAATATATAAATTTTATAAATTATTGTGTTTAAAGTTTACTATATATATATATATATATATATATATATATATATAAATTTTATAAATTGTTTTAAAGTTTACTAAATATATATATATATATATATATATATTTAGTAAACTTTAAACACAATAATTTATAAAATTTTAATATTTATGTAAATTTGTTACATATATATATATATATATATATATATATATATATATATATATATATATGCCTGAAAAAAGACATAATTGAGCATTTTATTATATCTAAAATGATATTTATAAAAATAAAGGTATTTTTATTTTATGATGTTTATATCCCATTATTAATGACATAGAAATATGATTGCTTGTGTGAGTAAGAAATTATTTGAATTAATTTGATGTTAAAATACTTCGTCTAAATGTTTAATTTTGTTTAAGTTTATTTCTAATCAGTTCCCAGTTGTAAAGCACAGGCCAGATTTCTGTCAGGATTTTGCGGTAGTCATAGAAAAGGTTTCTGTGAGTAACCTTTTGTAGATCAATAAGGATTGTATTTATAAAATTTGTTAGAAAATAAATAGGAAAAGATTTCTATCAAAGTTTCTTTTCGTATTTAAATCAGTGTCGTGAAATTGCTATCCAGGTATGGATGCGTTTTTTTTTTAGCTTTTTATTATAAAATCTCAACCATTGCATTTTTACGGGTATTAAAGTTGGCCATATTCTTTAATTAATGATCATATTATGTGTTATTAGTAATATTGAATGAAAGTAACTTTGTAGCGTATTGGTCTGCTAGTAAACTTTGTTTTTAGATCATAAACATTAGATATGAATTTTTTTTAATATCCATATCACTGAAGTTGGATCTCGCAATTGCCAAATCACGGACATCGCATTACGTCCTGTTTATATCACAAATGCGGAACCTGGTCCTGCTTATATCACTCGGGTAGTTTCAAAATAATATTATGCTCAAACCCCAGATGGCATGCCCCCCTGGCAATATCCCTCATGTTATAGGGAACTGGGATCATTAGACGGTGCCTTAGATGCCCCCAATAGGAAAAGTGCCGATGGGGTTTTAGCAATTTCCACCCAGTATTAAACTCACTTTAAACTTCGACCTTGTGTTACATTCGGAGGCGACATGGGCGCGCTGAAAAATCCCCATATCACTGAATTGGAATTTGTCCTGCCAATATCACTGACATAGGACCCCGTCCTGCCCATATCACTGACGTGGGACCTCATCCTGCACATATCATTGACGTGAGATCTCGTCCGGGCTATATAACTGACGTGGGACCTCGTCTTGGTCATATCACTGACGTGGGAATCCGTCCTGCCCATATCACTGAATTGGAATTTTTCCTGCCAATATCACTGACATAGGACCCCGTCCTGTCCATATCACTGACGTGGGACCTCATCCTGCACATATTGACGTGAGATCTCGTCTTGATCATATCACTGACGTGAGATCTCGTCCTGTCCATATCACTGACCTGAGATCTCATACAATGCAGTCCATGATACAGTCTTCTTTATCCGGCTTATTGTAAACATTCGTGCCTGTCCATACGCAATTGCATATTCAATTCACATCAAGTCATTGTAAATAAAGTAATGGAAAATTTTCATTTTCGCTTCAACAATGCACGATAAACAAGCTCATCACAATATTAGGAACGAGTGTATCCCGGTTTCGATCCGAGGTGCGGGTATCTATAAATGTTTCTTTTGTTCTCATTTCCTGAATTGTCACAACAGACAAACCTTATTTCTGTGGTTAGAGCTATAAGAGACACGTTACAGTAATTTTGTTTTTTGGCAGATTTGTTTTCATGTAACTAAAAAGGAGATTACACAAGATAATGTCTCAAGTGCTCCGAATAAAATGGTAGATTTTCTTTTTTTACTATGAAAACCAATTTAATTATACTTAATCTCGAGTTTATATAGAATGTATGATAGCCATGATACATAAAGTGTGTTATTTTTACTAAAAGAATATACTAAGAATTATAAAAACAGAATCGGACTTGATAACCTTTGCTCAAGCGATATCACGAATGTCTCTATCATCAGTTTGTATCAGCGATGTTAATATCATTTCCTTCATTCTTTTTTTCTTTCTTTCTTTCTTTCTTTCTTTAATATTTTTTCACTCATACTTCCCACCTAACCTAACATCTTTTTATGATTAATAACTTTATAAGTGTAACTCTACATGTAGAATGCATATAATACTCCTGTTCTTATAATATTACAGATATATATATATAATATTATAATATTCTTATATCATTACAGAACAGGACTATTACTATATTCTTATAATATCACAGAAATATATATATATATATATTTATTTATTTCTGTAATATTATAAGAACAGGACTATTATATGCATTCTACACACACACACACACACACACACACACACACACACACACACACACATATATATATATATATATTTATATATAAGAAGAATAATGATGACAAATTAGTCTTTAACATCGGTGGTATTTTCTCAGGTGTAGCTAATTTCTGTTACACCTCATTTTTTTTTTTTCTTCTTCTTCTTCTTCTTCTTCTTCTTCTTCTTATTATTATTATTATTATTGTTTTATTTCCTTTGATTTCTGATGTCCATTCATTTCTTTTCGGGTCCCAACCAGAGATCTAAGGTCAGAAATAGCATCATGACATTTTCCACTGAGCAATTAAAAAAAAAAAATCAACACACATATTTTACATTGATAGAGCCCTTCGTAAGGTGTGAGCTGTACACATGAGAACAATTTTTGTATTTATTTAGGGCATGGGCTTCCAGGAATCCCTTCAATTAGTCTACTGGAGTCTTTTCCCAACCAATCCTAGGGCTCCAATTACAACAGGGATTATTTGATGTTCCCATGTGCCACATTTTTGAGATTTCGATTTCTAGGTCCTTGTATTTTGATAGCTTTTTGAATATCTCCGAAGATACATTGCAGTCTGCAGGGACTGCCATATCAATATGGGAGGCATTATTATTGTATTATTATTATTATTATTATTATTATTGCCTTCTGTTCAGTAGAATCCAAAACTGACATTAAGGCAAGTTTACACATATATGCATTGCTTTTGCACAAATTATAATGTTAATCATTTTAATAAATAACAATATCCATTATTATTATTATTATTATTTGTTGAGAAAATAGAGAAGAAAAGTGGAAACTAAGAAGTGTTATAATCACACCAATATCTGCGTTATCATTTGCTCAGCTACAAAGCTACAATTATGATAAACCCAGCGAGGATCGAACTCGCAATGCTCCGCTAGACAAGCTTAATAACTATTATACCAAGACAAGGTGTTTACAAAAAACTTAATTTGAAATACTTGTGAAAAGACATTACTCCCTCTGCGGTCAGTCTAGTCTCTTAAAACAGACTTCTGGGTAGTAAATATTTGTGTTTTCCTTCTTTTTCCATGCGTGTTTTTGTCAGCTAGCCTCTATTTGACTCCAGCTTCATTGCGTGTGTGCCGAAGTGGTTGGAAGAAAAGCTGCCGTTTCTATTGATTCTCCTCTTACCGCTTCTCTTTCTCTTTCCCGCACGCACAAACGCACATGTACTAAAGAGTTTTCGCTCGATCGGCAACGGATCGTATGCGTGTGCGCATGCGCGAGTGGTGACAACGCTTTTACCGCGCAAAAAGTGTGGAATGCGATTCGCGCGGGAAAAAAACGGCGCATGACCACGAAATGGATTTCCGACTTGAACAATGGATTATCCCGTGGATGATGATCATTAATATCTTTGTTATGATGACAAATCTGATACCCTGTGTGGCATATTACTGCGACTTCGCACAATGTCGCTGGACGCTGGACAAAGCAACGGGTAGTTTGGCGCGCCTGACTTACGAACACATGGACGATAATGACAATTACAGACCACGTGGCCGAAGTGAGTATTTGTTTGTTTATTCCATTTATTACAAGTAATTATTGTTTTACCATTATTGCTATGGCCGTTTTTTTCTTCTTGCCAGGCATTTTAATTTTTAACACTGTTTATCGTATGAAAATATATTCGTTTGCTAAACAACAACAAAAAAAATAATATGGCAGATCTCAGATTCCTCAGTTGCGACTGAAAACAACGACAAAAAAAAAAAAAAAAAAGAACGAGAAAATATAAATGAGGTATTTCTATCTTTCTGCAAAGCTGAGGAAGTTGTAGAACTTGAATGTGTCGGTATTACTAATTATTATCTGAGTACTGGGAACAGCTCCAAGGAGCTTAGGAAATAGAGTTTAAAAGTGAAAACTTAAGTAAAAGTCAGGAACATTCAGATGAAAATATTACTGACAACACTAAGATCCCTAAGAAAGGTGCTGCCATATTGCGGGTACTTGTTATCCCTTACCTTCCAGAGCAAGTTACCGTTGATTTAAAAAAAGAAACAGAAAACAAAAATGATACTGAGGAAAGTGCTGGTGATTTGAAGAGATTACTTGTCACTCCATCGATAAACACCAAGCATCTGGTGAGAAAAATGCATAATAATAATTTAGTATTTCATGCAAATGCATAAAATACTACTACTACTACTACTCATAATAATAATAATAATAATAATAGCAATAAGTGCTATTATCGTCTTCGTCGTTATTGTTATTGTATATTTCTCGTAGTAGCAAGAATGTTATCTTTAATATAAAAATTCATTATTGTTAAAATAAAGAGGAGGAGATGGTAGAGTAAAGGTTAACGGCACCAAGGAAGGAATCGGAGAACATAGTTCAAATTCCAGTTGAGACATTGTACTCTCACTT